CCCGCCCACCCTGGTGTACGTGGCCAGCGCCCTAGGCACTGAGCTACAGGTGCTGAGCCTCTCAGTCAGAATTTTTAAGGAGGCTGGAAGGTCAAATATAAATCCTGGGAGGATTTATACTTCTGAGCTGCTTCCTGTGGCAGGTTGCCCTGGGAGTAGAAGCCAGTGGGTTTTGTCTTCCTTTGAGCTCTGCCTAGCCTGCTAGTTTTGAGGTTAAAAGGCTTCTCCAGCGTACGGAGCATGCACTTTCCAGCAGCACTTCTTATCCAAAAAGGGCCTATTACAATGCTGAGGTATCTTTTAAGTCCTCCTAAGACATCTTCAACACAGCTTTGGGCAAGGGACACAAAGCCTCAGAGAAACCATAAAACAACCCATATGGCACCGTAATATTGTTTTGTTCTGGGAATTCTGCCCTTAGACAAACCACACAGTCATGAATACATAAACACACTTTCTGAGCCATCTAACGCAGATGAGCTCTGCTGCGGAGGAGCATGCCTCAGCCCAGGGGAAAAGCGGGAAGCGGCAGAGCAAACCACAGCAAATGCTCCGCCCCAGTGCAGTGCCAATCCCACCGCTGAGAGTCCACAGTGGAAAGCAGACTTTGTTTGTCATGGTCTCCACTGAAGAGCCACACAGCAAATGATACTAGACGATACTGGCTAAATGGTTAGAACAGCCAGTGATATCTAGATTTTAGGCAATAATGTCTCTGAAGAGTTTAAAAGAAGGAACAGAATCCAGGCTAAGACAAAGAGTCTCTGAAGACCTCTGACCTAGACAGGCAGCCATCTCTTATGATTACTTCCTGTGTGGCCATGAAAGTTAACGGGATAAAGCCGTCACTGTCGGCACAGAGAAGGATCCAGTGGGAGCCTGCAAAGTAAAATGAATACACAGGCAATTTAGGATAGCTTATCTTATTCTATAAAGAAAAATATGACTACAAATACATTTGGTTTTCTGTTTATTTGGTTTTATTTTTGGAGACAGTGTCTCGCTCTATTGTCCAGACTGGAGTAGAGTGGCGCAATCAGGGCTCACTTCAACCTCCAGCTTCTGGGTTCCAGTGATCCTTCCACCTCAGCCTCCTGAGTAGCTAGGCATACAGACACATTTTACCACCCCTAGCTAATTTGGATCTTTGTAATTAATTAATTAATTTCAACAGAGTCTTACTTGGTCACCCCTGGTAGGGTGCCATGGCATCACAGCTCACAACAACCTCAAACTCTTGGTCTCAAGCAATCCTCTTGCCTAAGCCTCCCAAGTAGCAGAGACTATAGGCACCTGCCACAGTGCTTGTCTATTATTTTTTAGAGATGGGGTCTTACTCTTGCTCAGGCTTGTTTCCAACTCCTGAGCTCAAGCAATCCACCAACCTTGGCCTCTCAGAGTGCTAGGATTATAGGCGTGAGCCACTGTACTAGCTGCTAACTAATATTTTTATTTTGTTTTTGCAGTTTTTTTGTCTGGGGCTGGTGCCCTACTCCTTTGAGCCACAGGTGCCACCCTAACTAATTTTTAAAATATTTTGTAGAGATGGGATCTATATTGTCCAGACTGGTATCAGACTCCTGTCCTCAAGCAATCTTCCCTCCTCAGCCTTCCAAAGTGCTGGGATGACCAGTGTGGGCCACTATGCCAGGTCAAAATGTTTTTTGTTTTTTTTTTTTTTGAGACAGAGCCTTAAGCTGTCACCCTGGGTAGAGTGCTGTGGCATCACAGCTCACAGCAACCTCCAACTTCTGGGCTCAAGTGATTCTCCTGCCTCTGCCTCCCAAGTGGGTGGCTGGGACTATAGGCGCCTGCCACAATGCCTAGCTATTTTTTGGTTGCAGCCGTCATTGTTGTTTGGCGGGCCCAGGCTGGATTCGAACCTGCCAGCTCAGTTGTACGTGGCTGGCACCTTAGCTGCTTGAGCCACAGGTGCCGAGCCTTGTTTTTTTTTTTTTTTTGAGTAGAGGAATACAATAGTTGATATTAAATCTGATCCTCATAAGATTTTATAGAGAATGGGTAGATAAAAGGACTAAGCATTATTTAGGGTCAAGTCATATGGCAGGAAGGGGATGCTGATGATTATACCCACTCAAAGTCAGTCACTTAGGCACTAAGGCCTATAACGCCAAGTAGGCATTTGTCACTTAGTGCGAGGCATCCAAGCTTGTGAGTACATGTGTGCACATTAGGGCTTGTGTGTGGAGGGTCCCTGCCTTATCTATATGCTGTTCACCAGTTTCCCCAGAAACTATGTGAAGTTGGGAATAGCTACTCTATGGAGAACTTTGTATACCATCCTCTAGACACCAGGGAGACTGAAGTGACTAGAACTAGACTACTAGTGTGGTCCAGATAATCCTGAATGGTTTGTTCCATGGTAACCTATGGGCAACCACCATAACACATGCTTGAACCTTCTCTGGTTCTTTCAAATCTAATATGTATCACCTCTGGACCCTATGATTTCACTTCTAAAAATCGACTCTCCCAAAAATAACATACAAAATACTCAGAGACCTTTCTTCAGTGTTATTTATAATGGTGAAAAATTAGAAACAGTGTAAATATCAAAGAAAATATGGTAAAGTAAAAGTACACCTGAGAATGGAATATTAACCCCACCCACTAAAAGTGACAATTACTGAGCCAGGTATGGTGGCACACCCCTGTAATCCCAGTTACTCAGGAGACTGTAAGGGAGGACTACTTGAGCCCAGGAGTTCAAGTCTGGGCAACACAGTGAGGCCATGTCTCTGAAAAAAAAAGAATTTCTAAAAAGTAAAAATGACCATTATAAAGCCATATAAAAAATGCATGTGTTGGCTAGACACAATGGCTTATGCCTGTAATCCTAGTACTCTGGGAAGCTGAGGCATGAGCCACTGTGTCCAGCCAGAATGATTAAAGAAAGAGTTTGCAATGTCACTATAATCTTTACTTTTCAGTGTGAAATGAGGTTTTTAGGTTATTTCCTTTCAATTGTTATATATGTTGCTTAGTAACTATTTTCTACATTTTTCATGTGTATGTTGAATTATTCTAGCTAAGCTACAAGTTCCCTAAGGGCAGAATCCATATTTCATTTTTTGACAGTTTTAATAGTCTTAGGCATACAGTAGGCAATTAATAATACTTGTAGATATCTACTGAATCACTGGATGGTTGATATCCCTCACTTTCACTACCAGAGGAAGTTAAAATAGAAGTGGCTGGGGAATATTGCACAGGGTCAATTCCCGAATTTAACCTACCGTGTAGCATTTCAATGAGAGACAGGCCAAAAGTCTGCTGAACCGTACTGAGCCTCAGTTTGCCATTGCAGAGAAGCACTGCTCTTTTTTCAGTAATAAGACCTACATAATGAGGTTTCTACAAATAAAAAACGAAAGTCATTAAACTGGTTGCAGAAACAATGAATTTTTTTTTTTTTTTTGAGACAGAGTCTCACTATGTCACCCTTGGTAGAGAGTCATGGAGTCACAGCTTGCAGCAACCTCAAGCTCTTGGGCTTAAGTGATTTGCTTGCCTCAGTCTCCCCAGTAGCTGGGACTATAGGCGCTCACCACAACACCCAGCTATGTTTTTGTTGCAGTTGTCATTGTTTAGCTGGCCAGGCCAGGTTTGACTCTACCAGCCTGGGTGTATATGGCTGGCACCTTAACCACTGTGCTATGGGCATCGAGCCTAGTTAACATTTATTAAGAATAACATGTTAAAAGAAAAAAAAAAGAATAGCATGTGAAAATAGTTAATTTAAATCCTTATCTATTTGATTCTAGCCTGTAATCCTTGTACTCTGGGAGGTTGAGATGGGCAGATTACCTGAGCTCACGAGTTTGAGACCAGCCTGAGCAAGTATGAGACCTGGTCTCTAAGACTAGCTAGGTGTTGTGGTGGGCACCTATAGTCCCAGCTACTCGGGAGGCTAAGGCAAGAGAATCACTTGAGGCCAAGAGTTGAGGTTGCTATGTGCCATGGCACTCTACCCAGGCCAACACGGTGAGACTATCTCAAAAAAAAAAAAAAAGAATCAGAACAAAACAAAGGTATTAGATGATATTAAGTCATTATTTTTTTATGTTATTGCATATGATAATGGTTTTGTGGTTATAAAAAAAAAATGTGCTTTGGCTCGGCGCCTGTGGCTCAAGCGGCTAAGGCGCCAGCCACATACACCTAAGGTGGTGGGTTCAAATCCCCAGCC